AAAAAAAAAAAAAAAAAAAAAAAAAAAAAAAAAAAAAAAGGTGAGTGAGTCTTTTGGCAGCAATCACAGCGTGTGTCAGGAGCGGCCCTGCTCCTTCTGCATAAAAACGCGGCGCCGGGCGCGGGCCAGGCCTCGCCGCTGGCCCCGCTGCCTTCGCTCCGGGGGCGCAGGGGTCCCTGTGCAAACGTGCTGAGGGCCTCGCTCTGCAGTCCAGAGCCGGCCTCGAGAACCAAGAGGGGCGAGAGATGCGGAGCTGGGCGCCTGGTCCCCTCCCCTCCCCTTTCTGCTCCCTCTTTTTTTTTTTTTTTTTTTAATATATATATCTATATATTTCTTTTTTTTCTTTTTTTTTTTTTGCCTAACTCCCTGCATAGTAAAAATCTCACTGGGTTTCGGATTCTGGCGTGCAAAGCCAAGAAACGGAGCAAAGCCTTCCCTTGGGACACGTTCCGGTGCAGCCCCTTGCGTGGAGGGGCCGCAGGAGAGAGAAGTGATTGTCTGGGGCCCCGCGGCCCCTGCCCTGTCGCCGTCTCCACCGCGGGCAGCCCCGCGTGGGCTCGGCCTCCCCGGCTGCTTCCGCGTGGGTCCCGGCGTCGGGAAAGGCTTCAGATGGCTCCGACGGACGTAGCGGACGGGAAAACAGTCTGCGGCCTCCGAGAGAGGCGGGAATGAGGACTCGGTGCGGGGAACATGGGGTAAAAAAGAAATCCAAGAAGCAGAACAACTCTTCAAACCGACGGGCGCCGAGGCAGGGCGGGAAGCGCGGTGTGCCGTCTCCGTCCCATAATCCGTCTTCAATATGAAGACTGCGTCGCTGCCTCATCGCTCCAGGACACGGAACGAAGAGCTGGGCTCCCTGTCGGCTCCCATCCAGGGACGGGCGGCCCGGCCTGGCCTGTCCCGGGTGGCCGTCCGAGGCAGAGGAGCGCCACGTGAGGGGGGAAACGGGAAGCCGGGCTGCACCGCAAACTGAGCCCGGGTGGCAGGTTCCCTCGGTCCGTTCCAATGCAGAGTCCCCTGCGGTCAAACCTGAACCGGGAGCGTCTGGTTCATCTGCAGCCTCATGTCCTGAATGCTGCTCAGGATCTTCTTCTGGTGCCCTGCTAGCGTCACCCCTATCCTCAGCAGGTCTCTGTGGGGAGATGACAGATTGAGTGGCTTGCCAGCTGCTGCACCAGCACACGACCCCACCAATCTCTCTGATGCTGACACCCCAAATCTTCACGACACCCTTCTGCTACTATTGCCACGGGGGACCCGCAGTTCTGGGTGCTGAACACCAGTTCTTTACCCAGTTAGGAAAATGCCCCCACACAATTCACCCCTCTGCACGCCCAGAGCAAAGGCTGCCAGCGAGATGAGGGCTCAGGTGCTGCGCCCCAAGCCGCACCAAGTCCCAGCCCTCCAAGCCCTCCCTCCTGCACCAGCAGGGACTTACTCTGCCGTCATCTGTGCCACTAGATCGAAGGAGGCAAACCCAGCATTGACAAAGTTCTCCTTGTACCGTCCCATTTTGATGGCGTCCAGCCAGTCTCCCACGGTGGTGAAGGTGGTGTAGTCCGGGACAGTCCGGTCCAGGAGCGGTTGTGAGACGCTAAAGAGCAAGAGAAACACAGGTCACCGGGAGCAGAGGGACGTGCTGGAAATGGGGCTGACGTCTCTGCTATTTCAGAGGGTCCATCCCCAACATTCCTGCACCCCTTGGGTGTGGGGAAGCCAGGCGGGCTCTGGCTGCAGGCAGGGACATCACTGACCCAGACTGGACACTGGCGATGACCTTCAGGCTGGCAGCATTACGGATGAGCTTGTCCAGCGTGTTGACAATCTGGGCAAACTTGGGCCGCAGGTTGCGGTCCCGCACCCAGCAGTCCAGCATGAGCTGGTGCAGCGCCGTGGGGCAGTCCATGGGGGGTGGCAGGCGGTAATCTTGCTCCACGGCATTGATCACCTGCAGAGAGACAGGCTGTGAGTCACCTGCATGCCGCAGCCCTTAGCTGCCCGCTCCCTGCGGAGCACTTACATCCTGGTTGGACATGTCCCAGTAGGGCCGCTCCCCGTAGGACATCACTTCCCACATGACGATGCCGTAGCTCCACACATCGCTGGCCGACGTGAACTTGCGGTAGGCGATGGCCTCTGGAGCTGTCCATCTGATGGGGATCTTGCCTCCCTGCAGGCACACACAGCTCTCATTTAGTGCACGTGTCCCCTGCACACACCTGGATCTGCACATTCCCCCCAAACACCCCGTACCAGGGAGCTGGTGTAGGTGGGATCAGCCGGGTCGTCCTCCAGGAAGCGGGAGAGCCCGAAGTCAGACACTTTGCAGACCAAGTTGCTGTTGACGAGGATGTTGCGAGCAGCCAAGTCCCGGTGCACGTAGTTCATCTCTGAGAGGTACTTCATGCCAGCAGCGATGCCTCGCAGCATCCCCACCAGCTGGATGACCGTGAACTGCCCATCATTCAGCTGCCAGGGAGAGACCAGCAGAGTCTGCAACCTGCGATAGGCTGGGGAGGGACCCTAAACTGCAGCACCCTCTCCCTCCTCCCTAAAGCCAACGCTCTTCCCTGCTCCACAGATGCCACTTACAGACAGGGATGTTCCTGGGCTAGCAGCACGATGGAGGAGAACACGAGCTTGGGGCAGCCCAGCCCCCTGTACTGAAGCCCCCAGCCCAGAGCAGGAGGGGATGTTTACCCGGAGGAAGGAGTCCAGCGCGCAGTTCTCCATGAACTCCGTGATGATCATGACCGGGCGGCTCTTGGTCACCACCCCCTCCAGATGGATGATGTTGGGGTGGTCGAACTGGCCCATGATGCTGGCCTCGCTCAAGAAGTCCCGCCGCTGTCGCTCCGTGTAGCCCACCTTCAGCGTCTTGATGGCCACGAAGATCTCGCGGCGGCCGGGCAGCTTGAGGCGCCCGCGGCAAACCTCGCCGAACTCCCCTGCGGGCAGCACGGGCAGCGTGGTGAGTCGCCAAACTGCACCAGGGGAAGCGGCCTCAGCAGCTGCTGCGCCCAGCCCCAGGACTTGCCTGCTCCGATGACCTCCTCGATTTTGACGCAGGAGATGTCGATCTCTTTGGCGAATTCCCGCACGGCTTCGTTGGGGTCCTCGTAGGTGAAGGGGTCGATGTAGACCTTCATGCCGGGGGTGACTGTGAGAGCAGAGAGAGCATCAACAAGAGGGACACAACACGGGTGACAGATGGGCAGAGCTTCACGCTGGCCATCAGTGCATTCCTCGCAATCCCCAGGAGGAGAAGGCTCCCCCTTCCCTTGGCAGGGGCAGGAGGACACACTTCTCCCCCACTCACCGTATTGCTGCAGCTTCTCCGTGTACTCGGGGTCTGTGCTGTTGCGCTGCTTCCTGCCCAAAGGAGACGAGAGGAGGTTTTCAGTAACCATCCCTTTCCTGATGGGGCAAAGACATTTACTGCCAGATTCCAACTCCCAGCACAGCCAGTCTATGCTAGAGAGCTTCAGCTCCGGCAGCCCGTGAGTAAAGCAATCCCAGGGCAGTGGGAGAAGACAGCCTAGCTCTGCCAAGGATGGCTGAGCCCAGGAAGGGTGCTGGGAAAGCCGAGGTGCAGAGCCCTCCTGCAGTCCCTGAGCTCTGGTGCCCCCGAGTCTTTGCTGCTAGCCTGGAGCTGGAGGAGCTCTGCCCACAGGCAAGGTGGGGCTGCAGGCCCCAAACGCAGCTCTGATCCCCCCTCTTCCTTCCTTGCAGAGCCAGTACCTGAAGCAGACGATGGCGATGACCACCACAGCGATGACAAACACCAGCACGGCGGTGGCGGAACCCACAATCAGAGGCAGCTCCTGGAAACTCTTGCTGGTGGAGCCTGCGGGAAGAGGAGGCAGGAATCAAAGTCAAGCTGGGGAGGGAGCTTATGCTCACAGTGCTGAAGGAGGAAGGTAGCCCAGCCCTGGTACCTACCGTTCTCTGCGGTTGTCTGGAACTCCATGGGGAGGCTGTAGAGGCCGTAGCCGGCCACCGTGCGCGCCCGGACCTGCACCACGTACCGGGCACTGGCTTTGAGCCCGTCCAGCCGCACCACGTTGTTCTGACTGGTGACAGTGTTGGCAATGCCATCGCTCTGGCCCTGCTGCKGGGGACACACGGGGGATGTCAATTCCACAAAGGGAGCCCACCACACCTACCACTCCGTGGGCACCCTCCTGTCTGCAGGGATGTCCCTGGCTGCGGGGCTGACTCCGGCCAGGAGCGCCGAGGCAGGGAGGGCCTCGCTCTGCGTTACCTTCTCCGAGTACTTGATCTCGTAGTCGAGAATGATGCCGTTGGGCCTCTCCGGGGGCGTCCACGAGAGCGTCATGCTGTTCCCGGTGCTGCCCTGCAGATGCATTGTGGGCACGGCAGACGGGGCTGCGAAAGGGGACAGGAGACGCGGGGCTGAGCCCACGGCTGCGGCCAGCGGGGCTGGGCACACGGGGTTTGGGGGGCTCTGCAGACCCCGCTGCAGCAGCAGGCGCGGGCAGGCTGCAGGCAGCGCCTCCACAATGCCTCCTGCACCAGCCCATKCCCTCCACAACCCTATATCCATATGGGGGACTCCCTGGCAGGGAACTGCTCAGATAACCCCAGCTGAAAGGCAYGGCAAGCTGTGACATTGATATCCCACAAGTTTCTGGAGGGAGGGGCAATCTTGGCATCCTGCAGCTGATACTGGACCCTTGGAAATAGCTCCAAGGTAACACCTCGCCCCACGCCTCGCTGCAAAGCTGTCCAGGGAAGGGCCCTGCCTGCCGAAAATGGAGCTCCCTGCCTTCCTCCTCTTGCCAGGAGCTCCCTGCTCCACCCCACTGACGAGACCCGTGAAATCAGATCAGAGCGCAGYGGCTGGAGATTACCAGCACACTGGAGCCAAGCCAGAGCGGGAGGAAGGAGGGAATGGYAGAGCACTTGGCCAGCTGCAAAGGTTGGGTTGGTGCTGAGCTTTCCTGGGCCCACAGGGGAGAAATCTCATTTCCTTCCTCCTCCTTTCACAGCAGGGACAACATCTCTGGGGTGGGTCTAGGAGATCCAGAGCTCTCCTGAGCACCTGCCAACCCTGCCCTTCTCTGCTTGCATGAGTTCTGATCTCATCTCCYCCAGGGACAGACGTTTAAGCGGAGAGGAGAATTCCCCCCGGGGATGAGATGCAGGCACGGAGACTCTGTAACACGGCAGCACAAAGGACCGCAGCCTCCAAAGCTGTCAGCAAGAAATCCCTGCGCTGCTCCGCGGCGCAGAGCTCCCCGCTGCGCGCTGGCAGCTCCACTGACCCGCCTGGTTGGTGGTGATGTTGACAGAAGCGAAGTGGGGAGAGTAGGGGCTCTTGCTGGAGATGCCGTTCACCGCCTGGATCTCGAAGGTGTACTGCGTGTGGGCCATGAGGTTGCTGATGTAGATGCGCCGCTCGGTGAGGCCCAGCTGGCGCGGCACGAACTCCACGTTGTCGTCGCAGCGCGTGCACAGGCGCCGCTCCACGCTGCACTTCTTGCAGATGACGTTGTAGAGCAGGTCGTCGCGGCCGCCCGTGTCCCGCGGCTCGCTCCACTCCAGCACCAGCGACGTCTCGTTCACGTTGGAGATGACGCTGCGCGGGGCGGACGGGACGCCTGGGCAGGGAGGAGCAGAGAGCACAAGGGTTAGGGAGTGCGGCCATGCAGCCCAGCTCGCTTCCAGGAGCGGATCCACGGCCTCCCGACCCTGGCTCTGGCCAGGCTGGACTCACTGGTGCAGGCGCTGTCGGCAGGGTCCGTGTCCGCCCGGTAGTAGCCGTTGCGACAAGTGCAGACCGTCGCTGCCCCGGACGTCGTGCGGCTGTTGGGAGGGCAGGGAGAGCAGGGGCCTTCCCCCTGCTTAGACTTGAAGGTTCCCGGACCACACGCTAGAAGAAGGGAACACAAGGCACTGTTAAGGAGCGTACCCGGAGTGTCCTCGATCCGGGCTGCGCGGAGCCTTTCCTGCTGCCAGGAAAGGGGGCTTGAGGCCACCTTCCCTTGCAGGGGGTGGCTGTGGATGCTGCTGCAGTCCGAGCCGGGAGGGAGAGTGACGGCYGCATCCCTGCATCCCGGCCCGCCACTCTGCCCCGGGCTCCCTCCCTCATGTAGGGGCCTTTCCYGGGATGCTCTTCCCAGGCTCCGTGGCTGCTCCGCGGTGCTGCTTGCAGGACCCCCGTCCCCCCATCACTGCGGCCGGGCAGGATGAACCAGAGGCCTCCCCGGGGCAGGGGCGGCCAAAGCTGCTGCGGGTCGGTGAGCGGGCGCGCGCGAGGAGGAGCCGCGCAGGACCGAGACATTCCAGCGGGTCCTGCTTCAACAGCAGCTTTGCCCGCCCTGCCGACATCCGAACCCCCCATTTTGGGGGCGCTGGAGCAGGGCTGCGCTCCGCGCTTGGTGGTGGTGGGAGCGAGCGCAGGGCCGCAGCGACTCTGCTTCAGCATCGCCCCCCTCCGCGCAGCCTCCGCACCCGGACAGGCTCCTTCCTCCCCCTCCTCCTCCTCCCCAAGCCTTCCCGCAGCTCCCGAGGGCACTTAGCCAGCAGGGAAGCAGGCGGCCCCTGCCCGCCACATGACATCACGTGTAAACAAGCGGAGGTTTCTCCTTGCCTCATCCCAGAAGCGGGCGGAAGCTTCCCGGGATGAGGCATCTCCCAACAGCCTGGGCAGGAAGTTTTCCGGCTGGCAGCAGCCGGGTGCGGAGCGCCCTGAATCACCCGCTGCCTCCTCTYGCCCCAGCCGGCCCCACGGGTTCCCCTGCCTCCCAATCCCGCGGGAAGGAGCCGCTGCTCCGGGGTCTCCGCATGCACGAGCGCAGCCCTGGCTGCATCCCACCACATCCCGCGTCGCCGGCCGCCTGGCTCAGCGGGACGCGGTTGGACAGGCTGCAGCAGCCGCTTCCCGCGCGCRGCCCGGGAGCCTTTCGCAGGGAGCATCCCATTCTGGGAGCCTCCTGATCCGGGCCCCAGGGCCTCCTGCTGGGAATTCAGGCTCTGCCCCTCCCGCCCGTGCGCCCGGGGCCAAGGACAATTCCAGGCTGCTCCATTCCAGGAAGCAAAGGGAGGTGGTGGGAGCCGGGGCCGGACAGCGCAGGGACGGGGCAGCAGCCGTCCCGGGCAGCCCGTGCGGCCCCACACCGGCCCGGGGGGACACGCAGTCACACATCAGTGCCCGGATTGCTGGGGAATGAGAGACGACTGGAAGCGCTTGGACGGGAGCACTCTGGGCTCCGAGAGCTGCCAAACGTGCTTTGGTTATGGAGAGCAGCCCGGAGCCGTCAGGGATGAGCCCCCTGAAACAAGAGCCTGGCGGGAGAAGGAATGAAGCTGGAGCAAGCAGGGCTCGCGTGGAGCCAAAAAGCCCCAGCGCAGCCCTAGCGATGGGAGAGTGCGGGACTCCGGAGGGGCTCCAGCCTGGATACCTCCCCTCGGGATGCAAGGCAGATGTCCCTGCTCCGAGCTGTCCTAGCAGGGCCCGGACACCCAAACCCCATTCCCTCGCTGCTGCACCCGCAGTCTGGCTCCCACTTCAGCACCAACCCCTCCAAACCTCTCTGCAGGAGAGGAACCTTCCTCGCTCCTCCTCCTCCTCCTCCCTGATGGTGGCCGCAGGACATCCCAGCAGCGCTGCTCCATGGGTGGCTTCCATGCTCCGAGGAGGGAGCACGCAGCATTAGGAGCCGATCAGCTCCCGCAGCGCCGTGGCCGGAGCCRCGGGAAGGACTGTCCTTGTCCACAAGCTCCTTGCAAAGCCGGAGCTGGGGAAGGTCATTCCYGCAGCCCCACAACTCCTCCCGAGCTGTCACAAAGAGCCAACTCCCACCTGGATTTCGGAGGGAAAGGGGCCGAGGCCGCAGTTCCACCGCGACGCTGGAGAATCCAACTGCCTCCGATAAGTCAGAGCATCAAGAGCTCGGGGCAGCGCGACAGCTCCCAGCCGCTTCCAAAGCCCGGGACAGAGCCGAAAACCGATCCCAGGTCCCCGGGGGGTAGGCAGCAGTGTCACCTCCTCCCCGCAAGAACCTGCCTGGGCAAGGGCCGGCGCACCGGGAGCGAGGCCGGGTGCTCCGGAGTGGGCCAGGGCCTCCGCATCCCGTGTCCCACTTCCCATGGCCACTTTCTGCACCGAAACATCCTCAAATAAAACAGGGATCCTGGACCTTTACACACGGTGCTAGGCTGCAGGCCAGGGAGGCCGAGGGGCCTCCTGGCCACGGGACAGAAGCTGCACGTGAGCAGAGCCAGGAGGAGGGAGCCGCRACACCCCAATAACTCCCCTCAGTGCGGGATGCGGGAAGGCGGCAGCGAGGCTGGCACAGCATCCACCAGAACCCTCCCTGGGCACAGGAAGGGCCGGGAGAAGGGCCCCATTCCCAGCCAAGCGATTCCGCTGCCCCGCAGGGCCGTGCTCGAGGTCCCTCGGGCTCTTGATGCCGCTCCGGGCAGCATCTCAGCAACTCRTTGCCATCATCTCCTCTCTTCCCTCGCCGGCCTCGGAGCCGAGGCCTGCGCTCACGTCGAGGTAGATCACAAGGATCCCATCCCTCTGTCCAGCCACCTGTAATTTCCCTACAGGCAGCAACGGGGCTCGCCCGGGATGGGCTGTGCTCCATGAATCCCGCTCCAGCCTCGCTGCCTTCGCCCTTCGGAGATAGCTGCACATGGAAGCGATGGCAAAGCTGCCAGGGAGGCGGGAAAACTCATTGTAAATCCCTTTTAAAAAAGGCACTTGATTTTTTTTTTTAAATCATCCTCTGGGCAGAAATATTTCCCGCTAGTGCAGTCTGGAGTGAATTTGAAGGTGAACAGAGGGAAAGAGCCCCAGGGTGTTTGAACAGTGCCATCCAAATGGCAGGCAGGAACGGAAAAAAATGGAAAAATGGATTTTTTCCCCCTTTTTTCTTCACAAAAAGGAAAAAATCTCAGGGAGCAAAGCGGTCCCTGGAGGCGGCGCGGTCCCGCGCGGGCGGCAGCAGATTTCCTTGACCGCGCCACAAGCAGCCCATTGTGGAGCTGCCCGGCTTGCAAGCGGCAGCTCCGCTCTCGCGGCACCGCGGAGCCCGCTTTGATCCCTAATCCCGCGCAATTAATAGAAGCAGTTTCACTTCCTGGTCCTCGCGCAGCAAGCCCGTGTTGCAATGCAAAGCTGCAAACAGTTGGCAGGGGTTATGCTTGCCTGGCATTTTTTTTTTTTTTTATTTAATTCGTGGTGATGTTTCCATTAGTCACCGATTGCAAGGGGAATTTATTTTTACCRAATCCAGATTCCGGCCCCGCTCTGACCTGACATCACTTCTCACGCGTGCCTGCGTTTACGGCGCCTTCGCGGCCGCCCCCTCCGCTGCGGGAAGAGGAGGGAATGCAGGARGCGGCGGGAAAGGCCGCGAGGAGGCGGCCGCCGCGCTGCATCCCAGCCCCGGGCCGCGCGGATACCCGGATACCGCTTCCCGACGGAGTGGTGAAGGCTCTGGGAGCAGAACCCAACGGAGCGAGGGCTCCGGGAGTGGCAACCGGGTCTCGCGTGTGGATGGTGCCAACCTCGACAATGGGCACTGCCAAGCACAGCTCCCTCTGCGGGGTGATGGCAAGCCACCCCTGGGGCTGCCAGGGCTGAATTTTGGGTCAATTCCAGCCAGATTTGGCATTTGCCATGGGGTTAAATCAACCTGCTGTGCAGGGGCACAAAGGGAATCCCCAAGGCTCTGCACTGAGCACGGGCCGGGGAAAGAGCCTGGTGGCTTTACGGAGGAGCACGCGGCTCTTCCATGAAATTCCTGAAGGAGAAGGAGAGTGGCCATCGCGGGAAGGACCCGTGTAGGGCCACGAGTGGCAGGGCCGGAATGCCGTGTCCCCGGCGGGGCCGCCCCTGCTCCCGCACACACGTGCTCCCTCCGCGGAGCCTCGCGGCCGGCAGCGCGTGGGAAGCGCCGCAACCCCCACAAGGGCCCTGTGCTAATTAAATAAAGATAATGAGGCTGCGAACGAGATGCCAAATTAATGCTGTGGCAACTTAGGACGAGCGCGCCAGATACCAGCCTCGCGTATCGCATTACAAAGCATGCCAAAGAAACTGCCTTGAGCCGGGCGGGATGAGCCCTCCGCTCCCGAGGGACCGGGATACAAGCTGCATTGTAACAGGTCTGAATGCGGAGTCTAATCCTGCCTCTGGATGGAGATAAATAGGAGGAGGAGGAGGAGGAGATCTTCAAAGGCCACTGAAAGTCTGGGTAAAGGGGGAGATTTACAACAGGGCTTATCCCATCTAAGCAGCGCCTCGGCATTGTTATTTATTAAAATGCCATCTGGCACTTCGCGGCGCTGCTCGCCCAGATGCCTCGGCGCAGGCAGCAGCTCCGCGGGGCCGGCACCGTGGCGCCCGGCGCGGCCCCTTCCCCGCGGGCAGCCCGGCCTCCCCCGGGCGCCCGGTGCTTCGTGCCGGCCGCGTCTGCGGCTCGCAGCCCCTGCCCCGCGGGAGAGCCTCTGTGAGCCACCCAAGGGGGAAAAATAACCGGGACGCTGCAACGGAGCGACCGACGGGGAGAGCGGAAAATGGAGCTGCCTCTCCGCGCTCTCCAAGAGCTTTTCAGCTGTTTCCACTTAAAACACGCGGTCACATGGCGGAAAATCTGACTGCAGCGGGGCCGAGCGGCTTTCCCGGGGAGATGGGGCAAAGTCCCCCCTCCACCCGGCACAGAGCAGGGCGCCGCAATCCCGACACTGCCTCGTCCCCAAGCACGAGGCGCCCGGTGCTGTGGCCCACACAGCTCCAGCCTAGGCACTTGCGCAGGGGCTGCTCCTGGTGCAGACGGTGCCCAGGGACCTGCCGCCCCACGGAAAGCAACATTCACCCGGGAAGACCGTTCCATGGCTCCCGAGGTGCACGTTCCTCTGCCATTGCTTGTCCCGGAGCAGGGGAGACCTGCTTGGGTGCTCAGGTTAGCACCACGGGCCATGGGCACACTGGGTTGYGTGAATGGAGCAAGCGGGGAGCTCTGTGCGCCAGGAGCAGCCATCCCACTGCAGTGTCTGCGCAGCGTGGAGTCGTTGGGGGACATTCTGGCCGTGCTTGGGGGCCCTGGGGACACAGACCCCTGCATGGCACCATGTCCGGCCGCGGCTCCTCGGGCAGGCGCGTCCCGCCGAGCGCCCACTCCAAATCCCGCGGGTGTCCGAGTGCGTCGCAGCAGCGCGAGCAGGACGGCACCAACCGGCCCCACGGAGCCTCCCAGCACCACGGAGCAGCACCCCGAGACAGCCCGCCACTAAAACCTGCTCTGTCCCAAAGGAGCTCCCAGGCCTCGAGAACGAGATCAGCCCAGTGCAAAACCACCTCCTGCGCAGCCCCACGCGCGCGCTAGCGCAGCGGGGAGCTCAAGACGTCGCTGAGCCGGGCGCTTACCTTGGCACTGGGTGTCCTTCATGGCTGGCTCGTATCCGGCGGCACAAGTGCAGGCTCCCACGGGCACCATCCACTCGCCGTCCCCGTTACAGTAGAGCTTCAGCGGGACGGACACTTCCACCGCGTTGGCGATGCACGTGCCCGGGGCGATGACCAGAGAAGTGGGCTCAGCCCCCGTTAAAGTCTCCGGGAAGATAGCAAAGCCAGCAATGGTGTTGGAGCATTTCTTGTAGAAAGCCCGGACAGAGATGAGGGACATGCAGGCTCCCAGGTCCTGGAAGGCCAGGTAAAAGCCGTTCTTGGAGAGGGGCCCAAAACTGCGCACCTTGGTGTTCATGCGGCCAGACTCCAGCTTGGAGAAGCTCTCATCAGGAGCAATTGTATCCACTTTGATATAGGGGTTCTCCATCCAGAAAGGGCTGTTTGCAGAGGCAGAATCTGTATCCGATTCGTAATAGAAGAGGTTGAAGGTCTCTTTGCAGGAACCCGGGATGTTGGGGATGCTGTTGCAGTCCCGCACGGTGAATTTGAGCTCCACGTAAACGCGCTGGACGTCCTGGCGCTGGATGAACTTGGTGCGAAGCCAGTTGTTCTGGTTGGCCTCCCGCACGTTGCACACTTGGTACGTGCGGATGGGGTTCATGGCCTCATCGTAGCCGCTGACTTCTTCCCACTGCAAACAAGAGGCAAGGGAGCGGGTTAGGCCACCGGAGAGGGAGACGAGCACCACGGACACGTGGCTGAAGCAAAAAGTTTTCTGGGGGCAGCCAGAAAACAGTTAACAGGGAAGAGCAGCGGTTGCACCTCCACCCGTCCCAACCCTTCTGGTCCCTCCTTGGTCATCAAGGTGACTAAGAGCAAGCTGGCCCAGGGACCACGGCGCGCCTGCACGCTGCCATCCACGCCGCCGCTCTGCCAGCGCGGAGTCAGCGCCGGGTAACACGGAGGCGATTTCACAAGGCGAGAGGCAACGGCGGAGCCGCAGCCAGCAACACAGCAGGGGCCGGTCCCCAAGGGGCYGGAGCCTGTGGTGCCCCTTGGAGGTCACGGATGGGTTCACACTTACCCCTGTCTCCGGATGAGTTGTCCATGCCAACTCCGAGGTCACCCACTTGGTGTCCATCAGCGTCTCTGCAGAAAGAGAGAGGAAAAAGAGAAGTAAATCAGGGATGAAGGCCAAGATTGGAGGGAAAAAAACAGGAGGAGTGGGGGAGAGCAACGGCTTGGGCTGACATTTCTGCGGAAAACAGCAACTTGGGGGGTGAGACGCGGTGGGAGGAGGGGGAGCGGAGCAGACAGACTCCAGATTTCTGTTCTCCTGTCAAGAGAACAGGAAGAGCGCAMGGTCCCCGGAGAGGCGCGAGGCAGCGGGAAGGGCCGGCCACGGAGCGGCCCCAGCGCCCGGGTGCCAGCGGAGCAGGGCCCGGCGCCCCCGCGCCCTCCCCCTCGCCTTGGCACCGCGCGTATTTACTGTGGCTGGGCTTGAAAGGGCCCGTTCCCATGACAGGGCGGTGCGGGCCAGGCAGGTTTATCCAGAGGAGGAGGGACCGGCAGGCTGCTCTCCCAGAGACGCCCCACATCACTCACTTTACAAGAGGGGAGAAGAATTTGACCGTCTGGCCAACATTCCTGGAGCAGACTACAAGACAAACCACCCCGGCAGCATTCCCCAAAGAGCCCCAGCCCCAGCCTTGGGGGAGCGAGACGCTTGTCTGGGAAGAGCTGCAATTGCAGGCAGCTGTCGCTAATCCCCGGCAGAGCCGCGCAGCGCCGCCCGCGAGAGCGGCGGCAACACGCGGACACGGAGAGCAACCTCGGCTGCTTCCGCACCGGGGCGGCACCCTCGGGAACGGGAGGTGTTTGAGSGGTGGGAAGAGGCACCCCGGGATAACGCAGCGCCTTTTCTGGGGCAAGCGGGCTGCAAATGCTGGGCAAGGCGGCGGAGCAGCCAGCGCCAGCCAAAGCCTCCGGGATCGCGGCCCCTGGGCGCCACGGCTCCAGACGCCTCCYTGGCGAGGGCACCGTCCATTCTGGGACTCCGTGGCACGGCCCTCCCTGGCCGCAGGGATGGCCCCGAGTGCTAGGCCGAACCCCTTGGCGCTGCCCGCTCCTTGGCGGGGCTCTCCGGGCGCGCTCGGGAGCCGGGAGTGCCCGGGACAGCCCTGCAGCGGCAGCTCTATGCAAACATTTGCGCTGTCCCACGCCGSGCTTTTCCCCGGTGCTGGGCGGCGTTTCCAAGCGTGTGCGGCCGTCCCCAGCGCCAGAAACAAGAGAAGGAAATTTCAGCTGCTTTTCTTCTACCTCAGGAAAACCACGGGCTGACCAGGCCAAGGAGGAAGTGCGGAGGAGGAAGGAAGCTCGCGTAGGAGAGGGTTTGGGAGAAGGCGCTGGGAGGTAAACACCGCCGGCTCCTTCCCGAGTCCCGCCCGGAGCCGAGCGGAGTGGCCGGCACACTCCTGACCTGCGCTCCCCGGGGATGCTGCGGCCACGTAAACAAGGATCCTGCAGGATCCTGCTGCCYGCCGGGATCCCGGGAAGCAGCCCCATGCAGACAGCCCGGCCGGGACGCTCCGCAGATRAACTGCAGCAGTGCAGACAAGGCARAGCCGGTGTCAAGGACAAAAATGAGGGACACTCTCTGAACACCCATTAGGCCCTGTCGCCCCCCGTGCCCGTCCTGGCTCCAGGRATGAGGCACGAGCAGGATAGAGGGCCAGAGGCGCAGCCCCCATGGCAGGAAAGGCCGAGCAGGCGCCGCTCTCCCAGCACAAACAGGGCGAGCACAAAGATAGTCCATAATTAGGCCACAATTATCTGCTGCTTCTCCCAACAAACACCAAACGAGGGGCAGAAGCAGAGGGGCAGCACCCCGCACGCAAGCGGCTGTCCGGGCGAGCTCGTCACAACGGGGCTGAGCTGCAGGAAGGGCCCCGGCTCCCGCGGGGCGGGCGGCTCCGGCGCACACGGCCCGGCGCACGCGGAGCGCCGACGGCCACAGGAAATCGCCCTTCCCTTCCCGTCCCCTCAGGAGCTCGCGGCGGCTCCCGCGGGTGGGAGCCCGGGATAGCGCCTTGGAGCGGGGCTGCCCCGTCACCACAGCCCCGGCTGCACAACATGGATGCGCTCGGGCTCCGTGAGGAGCGAGGCTGGCGGCAGCCGGAGCGAGGACGTGGAGGCCACAGCAGGGCCCGAGCAGCGCTCAGTGTCTGCCAAGGCCCCACCTCAGAGATCCTGGGATGCTTCCGAGCAGCGCTTGGGATGTTGGATGTTCCCGGCCAGCCTGGAGAGGAAGGGTGACACGTGCTRGGAGCCTTGGGAGAGCCAAAGCGCTGCAATAACAGGGTGCAAGGCTTCACGTCAGGCAGGGCCGGTGGCCTAAAGGGGCCGGGGACTAGTGGAGAACAAGGGATTTCTGTCCCCTCCAAGATCTCGGCAGAGCAGAAAGGAGCTCACGGGGGCACAGGCGCCCTGTGCGCTGAGCGGGGCCATCGCGGGGCAGCGAGCTCCACGTGGAGGGGAAGCGGCCGCGCCGGGTGGGCGCAGCGGGATCGCGGCTCGAGTGCCCCGAGTCAGGCCTGGGAGACAGGGATCTGCGCGGCAGGGTGTGCAGAGCGGGGCACTGCCACGGACACTGGGAGCGGGAGGGATCGCTGGAGCCAGGCGGGCACCAGGAGGGATYCGTGGCCCGGCTGCCGGGCAGCCCCGCGGGAAGCGCCCTTCTCCGCGAGTGCCGATCCGTGACAGACACTCTGCTCTGACAGGAGGCTCGCTGCCTGCATCCTAATTTGGCAGCATCTGCCATCCGACCGGAGGAGGAGGGAAAAAAAAGAAAACAGAGCCGAGCAGGCCCTTGGCCCGAGAGCCACATAAATGGCATGGAGAGAGCAGGGAAGGGGAGAGGGGGGAAATGCAGGGAGATCAAATCACCAGGCGCCTCCACGAGAGGAAATGGGGCCAAATGCGGAGGGCAGAGGGTGGTTTCCAAGACGCAAGGAGAGAAGGGCCAGGAAGGGGCAGGGACCATCCTGACCTGCCTGTGCATGAGGGTTGCAGGCAGAGGGGATGGGGGGCCGCTGCTTTTGGGGGTCCCGTGACATGGGGTGCCACATAGAGCAGAGTTGCCTGCAGCAGGGCCCGGCCAGAAGCCGCTGGCTGCCCTTGGTGCTGAGGGCTTCTCAGCAGGCTGGCCCCAAAATCCCGGCCCTGAACACGCAGCCATCGCTTCTCCAACAGGCACGAGACACCRGCGTTTTCGCCGTGTGCTCCTGGTGCTCCGGAGAGGACGGGAACGGAGTCAGGGCTGGCTGAGCAAGTGAGTCAAAGCCCTTTGTACCCGGCACCCTGCACCAAGTAGCCCTACTAGTGCTCTGCTCCTATTAGTCACCTGGAAATGGGCTCCCAGTTCCAGCAGCCGCAGGAGCTCGCCCCGAGGCCTGCTTTATCGCCCCAGGCTGTAATCCCGGTGAGCCGTCCTCTCCTCGGCTCTGGCCAGGTAAAGGGCCGGAGAGCCCGGCCAGYCCAGAGGCGCTGCTCTGGTTTGCCAGTCCCACCACATCCAAAGCGGCACCTTCACAGCAGACACACATCCAGTGCCGGGGAAAGGCCCCACGTCTCACACAGCTCCTGCCGCCCCCCGGCCCCCGCCGTGTCCTCCCACGCGCATCTTGAGCTGCAGGAGGGCAAGGGTCCTGCCATCAACTCGCCCACCACCTTCTCAAAGCTTTTTGTGGGGCATTTTGCGACCCATCTGGAAGCCAGGACCTCTTCCCACGCAGGGGCTCAGGAATGCAGCCGCGCATGGGCTCCGAGGCCAGCAGAGTGTTTGAGCTCCCCCCGAGAGGCCCAGAGAGCCCCTATCGCGCTGCTCAACAGCAGACAAACCCAGCAGCTCCAGCGGGGTCGGCACTCGGCACCGACTCAGCAAGAGGGGAAAATCTTTAAGATGAAGCTGCCGGGGAAGACTCAAGTGGTCTCCACCAAGCGGCTCCAGCTTTTGAACGCGGAGCTGCCCCTGGAGCAGGATGCGCCGGCGAGGTGCGACGCCGGCTCCGCAGCCCCACGGCGGGGAGGGAGCCGGCGCAGAGCACCCTGCAAAAAGGCAAGGGAGGGAAGGCGGTGAAGACGCCCACGCGGCGATGCTGGCAAGGGAGGAACCTGTTCTGCGACGCGGCCGCGCGCCGGGAGCAGCAGCGAGGCCCGTCCGCCCCGAGCCGGGACACGGCTCTGCTGCGCGGGCTCCGCTCCGGCCCCTCCGCGAGCGGATCGCCTGGGACAGCGGGAGCTGGGCTGGATTTGTGGGCAGTCTTGGTCACTGCCTGCTAGTCAGAAAGCCACCCAAACAGGGCATCTCCTGGACATTTTAATTTCCTTCTCAGTTTTGAGATAATTACAGCAGGAACGAGCGGCCTTGTGCACTCCCCATTCAAGCACCTATCGGTACAATTAATCCCAGCACCGGGCTAAACAGCGGCACAAAGGGCCTTTGGAGCAGGGCCCTTTATGCGGGAACAAAGAGCTGCCTGTGGGAGAGAACCTGAGGTTGCACTTTTCGCGCTGACGAGCGCTCCGCRTCCACAAAAGCGGAGCCGCACGGCGCGCGGGGCCGGCCGGCACTGGGATGCCTGCTGTGCGCTCCCGGGAGTCCTCCTTCCCCATGAGCCTGCCGAGCTCCGCAGCGYGCCGTGCTGGGTAAGCGCTCTGGGGCCATGTGTGCCACGGTGGAGCACGTGCCGGACCCTCCTCGCGGCCTCGAYGAGGGGCAGCCCCTCGCGCCAAGGCGGCGGGCTCTGCAACGGGAGCCAGGCACGAGCTGCGCCCGGGTGCGGAGAAGGGCAGGGAAAGGGAGACCGCAGGGAGCCGGGCAGCGCTGTGTGCCGGCTCCCTCTGCAGGGACGGGGCTGGCAGCGCCGCGGGCACCTCGGGACAGCACAGCTCTGCCACCGAGCTCCCCGGCATCCCCGCGCGGCACCGGCATCCCCGCGCGGCACCGTGCCCCTGTCCCCGCGCTCCGCAGGCTGGGGCGGTGAGGCTCAGCCCAAGGGAAGGGCTGGAGCGCTCCCTATCGCCGCCCACGCAGGGAAGCCGGCCTCCTGCTTCCCAGCGCCTCGGCTGGCGGGAGCAGGGGAGACGGG